TCCTAAATTTCCAGGGTACGCGACGCGATAGTCACGGTACGTGACTATACCATGTGACTTTTACCAGGCTAACAATACATTTATAATTAATCTATAATTAATAAAAAAATTTTAAAACTCAAAAATATTAAAATTAAAATTAATTCTAAAAATATTATTACATTCAAAGTAATAAATAATATTCCTAATAATTTTGCTCTTTATAAATTTAATTTTTCTTTTGATTTTATTTTAAAAAAATTATAAAATGGGTTTAATACTATATAAATTAATTTATAAAAATCATTTAGTTTTTAAATTTTTTTAAATTTTGATATTAACATAAAATTTTTAAAATTATTTTATTTTTTTACCAATTTTAATAAATTTATTAATACGATACATTAGTAAAAATTATTAAATATTTGTTGACATTTATTTTAAATGCCTATTCTATTTTATTAGTTATTTATTAAATTATAAATAAAATTAAAAATTTGTCCAGAATTTTTAAAGGGAAACCCATGTTTATACAATTTTTCTGTATAATATTAGATAAGATAACATCATTCTTCACAAAGATCATTACTGTGCCATATTTTTTTTATTATTTATCATTATATTTTGCACAAACTTTAATGGTGCCTTAGAAATTGTTTGGAGACTATTTTTCTGTAAAAAAATTTTTAATCGTGGCAATTAAACGATCTTTTTTTTTGTTGTAAAGAAAATACAGTACATGTAAAAATAATTGTTTGAATTCATAACAACGTTGTTCGGATATGTCTTGTCATCTACGATCTATTCTTTATCACCGTGACGAGGTATTCACTCAATAAAAAATGTTAGTTCAAATAGTTTTTATTTCAAAGTGTATTAACGCAACGCAGTGTATAGGTATATAAAATATATTGAATTCTTTTTTTAAAAAAAAAACATAGTACTGTAATATTAAATATGTTTCGATAAACAATAAATAGTAATACAAATGCCTAAATGCATAAATAAAATTATATGTTTCTAATATTATTAATATACATAAGTGAAGGCATGGGTACAGTACATAAAAAACCAGTCATTAAATATTACCGTAATTAGAGAGTCAAATTAAAATTCCGAAATTCGCCACATATACGTAAAAGGTTTTTACAAAGCCACCGCTATTTTCTATTTAACTAATAAACCGATATATAGAAAAATGCATAAAGCAGCCCCATCATCATCATCATCTCCCTCATCTCTTTCATCTACACAATCTAATAGCCGATCGAATCTACTGCCGAATTTCAAACGGGTTTATCGTTTTGATGCCTGTCCACCACCAGTTCTTGACCAAATTCGTGATCGTTACCGAAATGTTCGGAAATCGGAATTACCACTGATAGAAGCAACTAAGCAGATAGTTTTTATCGACGTTTTGATTGGTCTGCTTTCCGAAGAAGGATTCGATTTTCGGCAGGGACTTGATGGAAACCATCTTTTGGTCGATAGAATACATAAGAGAAAAATTTTTGTCAAAGTTGTAGATGAGGACGAAGAAAAAATTGGTGATACCGAAATGCATGGCGCTGAAGAAAAAATTGGTGATACTGAAATAGATGACGCCGAAAAGAATCTATAAAAAGAGCCATTATCGTATCGTGATATTATACGGAAACAGTAGGAAATATATAAATTCTGCAAAAGTAAACTCAAACATATTACAAAAAGACTAACGAAATCATAATTTTTTAAGGCAAATGAAGAGAAATTCAAATCGGAGATATTCAAAATTAGATTTCTTTTTATTTTATTTAGCGTATTTTTGTAATGGATTTGCAACTCTGTGAACAAGAGGCGAGATATGCAATAATTTTAGGTTACTGTACTGATCTCACGTATTTTAACTACTGACAATTTTTAATTCTAAGTCGTTGTTACTTATTCAAAGTTAAACAAGTCATAATACTGTACGTAGTGATAATAGTGTATGAATATCTATTCAGACTTACTATAAGTACTGTAGTCGTTTTATTCATTGGACAATTAAAATCGTTAGGAGCTAGAAGTCGGTCGGAAATGAACACATGCTACGTCGGAACCTACAGAAAGAGGAAAATAAGCGTTTTTATGTTTAGTGCTCTTTTGCAATGCACACATTTGTATATATTAACATAATCATAGGTAACGTTGTATGTTTAAATTAAAATCTTACTATTTTTAAGAAAGGGGATGAGAAAATTTTGCTGACTACTGTACTAAGTCCTCTAAATAAATCACTGGCTTTATATTAGTAGATTTGTTATTGGTCACATAAAATTTAAGTATCGAAGTACAGTGCTTTTAAATAAAATGTTAAAAAAAGATTATATTGTATTTATTCTGTATTATTTTAAGCTTAAATATAAATAATAAAATAAGTATTATTTTATTAATTGGAGTGATAATGATTTATTCTATAATATGATTTTTACCAAGTATTTAAATTTTTCATATAAAATAATTAATAAAGATATATTAACTCGTTATTTCTTTAAAAAAAAATTTTTTTAGGTTTTATAAATTAGATATAATATGAAATGAATTTTTTAAATCCAAAATTACTCTTGTAATTTATTTTTCTCGATTATTAAAAATAGATTACATTGATGCGTCGACGAGATGTTTATAATTCTCAAGTTTATTTGAAATTAATAGGAAAGAAATAAGAATACATTTTTTTCAAATAAAAAATTATAATTTTAAACACGTATATGTAAGAGCTAATGATTTATTTATCACGAGTACAAAGATCAAATCAAATAACATAAGCACAAAAATATACGATTTTTCTAGATTGACAAATACAGGCTGTGAATCAAGTGAGACCTTGTATATTTTCGCATTATTAAAAAAAATAGCAATAATTTTTTTAAAGTGAATGTTGTCTAATAAAAGCATTAATATAATTCAAAATACTTATATATAAAGTATTTGATAATTACACCTATAGATTCCATTGGATACAATAAATATTATGCATAATATGGTACATTATAAACGTAATAATAAGACAGTAAAAGACCCGCCACGACAAAGCCACTTGCGTTTAATCCAGACCCATGGATTTTTTTTCAAGAAATATGGACACTTCATACAACCGATCGAACCCTGGAACGGCCACAACAACTAAGAAGAGAAAAAAAAATTATTCAATTTAAATTTATAAGTTGTGCTGGATATCGTAAATAAACAGATTTTACTTACACGTAAACAATTAATCCAACGATAGGAAAGAAAAAAATCAACAAAATCCATAAGAGCTTTGATATCATTGAACGAGATGATTGCAAAACTTCGAAAATTGCAATGATATCAAGGATTAGCTAAAAAAGAAATTTTCGGTTCAGTTAATTATATGTCATTCATTCATTCATTCATTCATTATTTATTTGTTGAATTCAAAAATACGTACTATGATAATACCCAAGATGCTGCCCCATATTGGAGAATAGAAGTTGTCCGCAAGCGTCATTTTGTTTTTGTTTTTCTTTTTTGAATTTTCTTTTTTGAATTTTCTCTGCTTGGTCAAAGAAAGTTCTGGCCGTGGGGAAGATGGCTTATTCGATCACTTTATAACAAGATTTTCAAATTGGTATGACGTAACTTGTACGTATGTATGATTGGCAATACTAATAGCGACCGTAACATACGTAATATGTACGTTAAGTACCTTTACGTATTGCTCATCTTGGATTAGCACGGGGGACATTAACTCGATAGGTAAATGGAAGGTTTGAACCAAAAATTAAGATTTTAAACATGACGTGCCTATCTTATTTACTACATCACCTTTTGCCCCCCTTATTTTTCTTGTGGCGTATATTTAATTTAGAATGTAGATTAGAAGCTAAAACATACGTAATGCCTATCCAAACGCCCAACTTATTATTAGTTTGTTCATAACTTAATTGTGATTTTAGCAAAAATATACGTATGTGTATGTATAGAATAATATAAATATATAAATAAAAAACTTCGTTTTTAGAATTTACTATTTGATTTTACAATTTGATGACATTATCTTGTATAAATACTGTATATACTGTACAATATACATATGTTAATTATCAATTCTATTTTTAAATTATTTTTGGTTTTTCAATTAGTAAACATCCTATAAACATATTGTATATAACTAGTACATTCAATTTTATTTTAAATTAATACTAACAAATACGTTTGATTGATTGATTTATTTTTTATAAAATAACACTTTATAAATATTAGAATAAACTAAAAATAATAAATAAAAAATAAGTATATATTTTAAATATTTTTTTAAAAAACTATAAATCAAAAAAAAAAAAAAAGATTTAATTAATAAAATATTTATTAAATATTTAAATAAACAATTTAATTCTATAAAGTGTTTTATTTTATAAATTAATTTTCAAAAAATTTTATATCATTCATTTTAATAAAACTATATATATACAGAGGGTACTCAAAAGTCATTGGACAAACTTTAAAAATTTATATCCAGCTGTATATTGTAAGAGGGACCAAAAAATTAGATAGATTCAACATATGTCATCCTCACTCAATTAGGGTTTAATTGGGGCTTGAGGGATTTTTGGGATTTTTGGGATTTCTTAACATGTATATAAAGAGGGGAATGTACTAGAGAAAAAGCAACAATAAAATAACATCTTTTCACTATAAAACTCAGACTATTATCTAACACTTTTACTTACCTCGTGCCACATCTCCATGCCTCTTTCGACGTTATACAATCGGCGATTGCGATGTAGCGACAGACTCGCCGTTATAACCCCCAACAATATATAGAATTAAAAAAAATTTATTTTATTTTATTTTTTTTATGCAATAATTACTGAAATATTAAAAATTTTAAAGTTTAAAAAATTACTCAAATCAAAAATGAAGATCACTTGAGAAATCAAATTAAAGTGACTTATTTAACTTTTTTTTTATACAATTAAGTATTTAGTAGAACCCCCTTTAGCCGTGATGCATGCCTTTACATATCGTGGCATATTGTTTATTATCCGTTGACAAAGTTGATGTCATATATTTTTTTAGGCTTGCAAAACAAAATAATCAAGTTCTATAAGATCACTTGGTTTTGTTCCACATCACCGTACTGAGTTTTTTACCTCATGCCACAAGTTCTCTATTGGGTTCAAATCAGGACTTTGTGCAGGCCAGTCCAAAACTCGAATCCCATGGTTAGCAAAAAAATTATTGATGATCTTTGCTATATATGGTCTTGTATTATCTTGCATGAAGTATAGGCGATCACGATTATCAATAAAAGAAAAACAATCAAAAATTGGAATAAGGTGTTCTTAAAGTGTATTAATATACGAAAACACCTTTACAGAGCCGTCAAGGGTGATAAGAGGACCAACACTGTATTAAGAAAAACAACCTTAGTACATTCGACTTGGACTATGCTTAATAATGCTGGTTAAACATTCAATTTTCCATTCTTCTTGTGGCTTGTGCCATACCTAACAGCAGGATTCCTGTTGAAAAAAGGATACCATGGACTTGTCAGACCAAAGTACACATCGAAAATGTCAAGTGGTCCAATTTTCATGCACCAGACATCAATTGAGCTGGTTTTTTTAATTGACTTTAAAAATAAATGGCTTCAGATGAGCAACATAACATCTCAAATTCAATTTATAGAGAGCACGACGAACTGTATTCATGGAAACATTAATTTTTGTCCGATTCGTGAAAACATTGGTAAGTTGAGAAGTATATAAATGATGGTTTTTTTTAATGATTTTTTTTAAGATGGTTTGGGAAATGAAATTAATGAGTGATGGGTAGCCGGTTTTTACACCTTGTGGTTCAGCAGAGCCAGTTTCTAAAAATCTTTTAATAATAACATCAACAGCTGATTTTGAACTGCTGACTTGTTTTGCAATATCATAATATAGCATTTTTTTTTTATAGTGGCAAATAATCACGTCCTTTTGTACTTATGTTAATTGAATTTTTTTGTCTATCATCTTTAAAAAGATGATTCTTGTTTTGTAAGTTTATTATTTATGTAATAAAGTTATTTATATAAAATAACATATTATTTACATGACAAATAAGTTAATATAAATAAATAATTTAATTTAAATAAATTAATTTTAAAAAAAAAAAAATCAAAAAATCAAAAATACTTTTCAGTTTGGCAAAAATATTTAATTTTTTTAAAAACTTTAATATTT